ACACACACACACTCACACACACACTCACACACACACACACACACACTCACACACACACTCACACACACACACTCACACACACACACTCACACACACACACACTCACACACACACTCACACACACACAAAATGTCTAATAGTATTTTTTTTCCAGAAAAAGTCCTGTTTTTAGGCAAACGGGAAAATAGGAAGCCAGAGGGGGGTGGGATAAATGATGGCTACCCCTCCCCCACAGAACAGGAGGGGAGGGCCCGACACCCTTCCCCATCAGTGTGGGCCTCCTCCTCACTGCTGCGCCATCCACTCTCCCTGGGGTGGAGGGTTGGTGACCTGCCTGCTGTGCCATGGACTCCCTTCCCCCAGAGCGTCCTTGGGAGGAGAGAGCAGGCAGGATGGGAGGGTGAATGTTTGGCGCTGGGAGCAAGCAGCCTTGGTGGGTGTCTTGAGTAGGTCTGGCCCCCATGGACTCCTGTGTTTGAATGCTCCGCCCACAGGGAGGGGCACTGTTAGGAGGCGTGGCCTTGTGGAGGAAGTGCGTCACTGTGGGGGCGGGCTGTGAGGTCTCATGTGCTCCAGCTGTGCCCAGCGGAACAGTCTCCTTCTGCTGTCTGCAGATCAAGATGTAGAACTCTCAGCTCCTTCTCCAGCACCGTGTCCGCCTGCACGCCACCGTGTCCCGCCATGATTATGAACTAAACCTCCAGAACTGTAAGCCAGCCCCAATTAAATGTTTCCCTTCATAAGAGTTATTGTGGTGCCAGGAAGCCTTTGGTCCCTGCACTCGGGAGGCAGAGCCAGGTGGATCTCTGTGAGTTCGAGGCCAGCCTGGTTTACAGAGTGAGACCAGGACAGGCACCAAAACTACACAGAGAAACCCTGTCTCAACTCCGCCCCCCCCAAAAAAAGAAAGAGTTGCTGTGGTCATGGTGTCTTTTGACAGCAATAGAAACCCTAAGTAAGATTGTCTAAACATGAACACTGAACAAAAGCCAACAGGACTGTCCAGAGGCAGCTTGTGAACAGAGGAGAAGATGGAACCGGAACACGGGGCTAGGGGCGGAGAAGGGGGCGGGGAAAGGGGCGGAGCCAGCTCCCCATCCGTGCCTCCGGGAAGGAAACAGCCTGGAGGAGACCTGGAGAGGAGGGTGAGCACTCCCACCTGCTCTCAGTGCAAGCCAGGCAGCAGGACCTCACCCTGGAGACGTTTGTTGTTTAAAAGTTGATTCTGAGCCTAATATGAGTGACCCTGGCCTGGGAACATGGATTCAAGTCGCCCTGATGCCATAGGATGCTATGGAAAAGGTTACAGAACCTTCCCAAACCACAGCACAAAGGAACTAATAAATCGATACATTTGATAAATAGGGCAGGCCAGCCACAGCAGAGCAGAAAAACGTTTCCCCTGGGTTCCAGATCCTCATACAGCCTGGCGTCGGAGCTGGTGAAGGCCAGAGGTCTGCCGAGCTCGGTCCTGCATCCCATCCGACTTACCTAGTGGTTGTGAAGACGGGAAGGTGGGTGGAAGCTGGAAGTAGACAGTTCTTAAAGGGACAAAGACAACCGGAGGTAATGTGGACTCTTGACCTGCAACCTCCCGTCTCTCCGCCGTCACGCTGTCCGACTCAGCCAAGGTCAAGCTGTCTGCAGGAGTCAGAGAACTTCCCAGGGAGATGAGACAATCACACAAATCTCCTCAACACAGGTATTCTGTGGCACGGGCTCCTTCAGATGGACGGAAACACAGACCTGAAGACGGACCGAAACAGGATGATCTAGTACTGGGCAGGATGAAGCATGGAGAGTCAGGGAGAAAGATGCTAAGACAAGAGGGTACTGAGTAAGGGGGGCCGCAAATGAACCCCTTCCAATTCCTCTCTGTGGTGTATCTACAGGGAAGAAGATGCTCCTCCCCCAGGGTGAGGGTGCCGCTCTTAGAAGCATCTGTGACATTTCCAAGAGAAGCTCACAGGGATCCTCCTGACCTCCCATCCCTCCAGTAGTCGGTGCGTCAAGACGCCATATTTTGGGGCTGTCACTCATCATGAGAAGGGCATTCACAGGGCTGGGGCAGTGGTTCTATGGTTAGAGCATGGACTGCTCTTGCGGAAGGTTCAGTTCCCAGCACCCACAGGGAGGCTCAAAACCATCTGTAACTCCAGGTCCAGGGGATCCAACGCCCTGTGCTAGCCTCCAAGGTCACTGAATGACTGTGATACACAGACACACACGCAGGCAAAACACTCATACACAGAAAAGAAATAACAATAACTAAACTGCAAAAGCTTTTCGATAGTAATTATTAAAAAGTACCAGTTTGTGACCAGTGATGGGGTTCACTGGGAGAGCTCACCTAGTGTACACGGTACTGAGTCCATTCTTTGTATCACACAATCTCTCTCTCTCTCTCATTTCTGAGACAGAGCAAGACTGATAACTAACTCCAAACCAAAGAATGAGATACTTAAAAAAATTATAACTGATAAATTGAATGTTAAGCACAGCACAAAATTAATCACATTTGGCTTCCATTTCCTGAACTTGCATTCGGGATTCTGGAACTTCCTCATTAACATCTTCAAGGTCTGTGACGTTTGCCTGGTAGATCACACTTGTAACCCCAACACTCAGGGGCCTGAGGCAGGGGGATAGCATGTTCGAAGCCAGCCTGGGCTATATAGAGTGAGGCCCTGTCGCAAACAAACAAGAACAAAAGTAAAACTCTTATTTTAAAAGTCTTCAAATTACTGTTTGTTCAATAAAAAAACTGACAGACTAGGATGTAAAATCCACGTGAAGTATAAAAGTGCAGTGTGGCCTTGGAAAGTTTCCAGAGTGTGGCAGGTGGCTGCCGCCAGGCTGTAAGAGACTCGTAGATTTTATTCTTTACTGCCTTCGAGGGCCTTCATGGAAAGGCGCTAGAGGCGTGGGTAGCTCCCCACCCCAGCTCACTGTTAAAACAGAGATGTGGCCTCAACGTCCCAGCTCTCCTGCTCCATAATCACAATAATGCTGGCGGTGTGTGTGCCCCCTCCAGATGCTATCCCCCACTGAGGTCGAGGATGAATCAGGTCACACTTGACCATCGCCTCTGTGCGCATCCTCCACTGTTCTCAGGAGAAGGTAGAGGAAGAGCACCGCTAAGTGAAAACATTTGTAATGTGGCTAAATATAGTGTGGAACTCTGACAGCAGCATCCTAACTGGTAAGAAAGTTCAGTGTGATATATATTCAGTTGTTATTCAGTACCCTCAAGAAATCGGCCCCATGGACACTGAAATCCACAGGCACTCCAAATCCTTATATAAATGGCATCAAAATGTACACCTAACCATATACTTTAAACCATCCCTTGGTGGTTAACTATACTATCATGGAAATGCTATGTAGATTCTGCTGTTTCTCTTAAGGAATAATGACTAGAAAACTGTCCGTGGATATTAAGTATAAATCTGACCTTCTTTAATTATATATATATATATCTCTCTCTATATATATATATCTTGTGTATGAGTGTTTCCCTGCATGTGCGTGTGGTGCCCGTGGAGTCCAGAAAAGGGCATCAGATCCCCTGGGACTGGAGTTGCTGACAGTTGTGAGCTGCTGTGTGGGTGCTGGGGAGCTCACATAAAGGGACCTAAAGAAAAGGAAAAACACTCTCTCTCTCTCTCTCTCTCTCTCTCTCTCTCTCTCTCTCTCTCTCTCTCTCTCTCACACACACACACACACACACACACACACACACACACACACACACAGAGGACCTCATTGGGTAGCCCTGGCTGTCCTGGAACTCACTCTGTAGACCAGGCTGGTCTCGAACTCACAGAGATCTTCTAATGTCTGCCTCCTGAGTTGCTGGGGTTGAAGGCGCATGCCACTGTACCTGGCTGGATGAAGTAACCTCAAACGCCATCCGTATTCAGGTCGACCTGCAGTCTCCAGTGAACAGCGTGACAGCTGGACTGTGAGTGTGGGGGGTGGGGTGGGGTGGGGGATGGAGAGTCTAGAAGGCAGAGCCCGAAGGCAGTCATAGCCAGGCTCTTCCTTGTGCACAGCCAGCTTTTTCTGCTGTTATAACCAATTGTGTCATGCTTTCATAATTTGAAAGGCATCCAGCAATCAAAATACCAGAAAAAAAAAAATCTCTGTCCCGTATGTTTCACCCTTGCCCGACTTACCCGCCGGAGAATAAACACCGTCATCGCTGGTGGCTGTTAAGGCAGTGGAGCTCAGAGGAAGCGGCTTCACCTATGCACCCTGTGGCCCGCAGGCCGGGGTCCCAGCAGGGAGCCCAGAGGACAGGGCTGGAGAGGACAGAGGAACTGCAGAAATCGGCTGCTGTGGATGGAAGCCGTCTGTCCTTCCTCGGAGCCCAGGCTGGTGGTACCTGAGGGTAACGGGCTTTCAGGAAGTGGAGCCTAGTGGGAGGACTTGGCTCATCCCTGCAAGGGATTATGGACACTTCTCCCTCCCTCCCTGCCTCCCTCTCCTCCCTGGCTCTAAGCATACTCTTTCCTTTGTATGTACGTGCTCCTCCCATCGTAATGTAAGACGGCACGGAGGGGTCCTCGCCAGAGCATAGGCCCAGCGGCTTGCACTTTGGACTTCTGTATGGTACTTTCCAGTGGAGTAGAGTATTCTAAGGTATGTTACTTTGGTTTATGCTGCATGTGTTTAACTCTGTGAAGCTGTGTTGCTACTGTGCCTGTCTAAAACACCTGATGGTCTAATAAAGAACTGAACGGCCAATAGCAAGGCAAGAGAAAGGATAGGTAGGGCTGGCAGCCAGAGAGAATATATAGGGGGGAGAGATCTGGAAAGAAGCGAGGAGCCAGAGAAGCAGGAGGACACCAGGGGCCAGCCACCCAGCTACACAGCAAGCCATGGAGTAAAAGTAAGATTTACAGAAGTAAGAGAACGGGAAAAGCCCAGAGGCAAAGGGTAGACGGGATAAGTTAAGTTAAAGAAAGCTACCAAGAAATAAGTCAAGCTTACCGGGCGGTGGTGGCGCACGCCTTTAATCCCAGCACTCGGGAGGCAGAGCCAGGTGGATCTCTGTGAGTTCGAGGCCAGCCTGGGCTACCAAGTGAGTCCCAGGAAAGGCGCAAAACTACTCAGAGAAACCCTGTCTCGAAAAACCAAAAAAAAAAAAAAAAAAAAAAAAAAAAAAAAAAAAAAAAAAAAAAAACAAAAAAAGAAAGAAATAAGTCAAGCTAACGCAGGGCATTCTTAAGTAAGAATAAGGCTCCATGTCTGTGAGTGATTTATTTGGGAGCTGGGTGAGGGCCCCCCCCAAAAGAGTAACAAAACAACAGCATTCCAGAACTGTAGCTAAAAAGCCTCTTTATAAAGCCAGCCTGCCTCTGGTGTTGTATTATAGTCATGCAAAATAGACCAATGCAGTGTGGCCAATAGTGTCTTCCTGGCAGGGACAGCTATTCATCTAAGAATGAGCTCTGCCCGGGACATAAAACACAGACGAACACACAATAACCATATCAACATAGACCATCAGGAAGCCCATTGCCTAACTGTGCTCGAAACGGCCAGTGCCTGCCAGTAATCCCGTCCTGTTATCTGGGGCCTTCCGTGACGGCGGCGTCACAAGGTCACGGAGTCAAAAGAACATTCGTAAACACCATCTGCTGCAGACTGCAGGGAGGCAGTGATGTTTCCCGCATCCTTCCGCTGCCTCCCCAACGTGCCCTTCCTTGACAACAAGGGTACCAGGCTGGAGACCTTGTAAGTTCACTCCACAGGAAGCCCTGGGCCACAGACCTGTGTGTCATCCCCTGGCCATAACAACATCTCTGATGAACACACCTTGTGCTTATTTCAGAGATCTTCGAGTCTCTGGATATCAAGGAGGGTGTGTTGTGACATGGTCAAATGACTCACAGCTGTAGCCCTGGGTGGCCTCAGACTCACTGGTACCAACTTCCCAATCCTACCTTCCTCAGTGGCAGTCATGTGTGCTTGTATTTCCTGGAAAAGCCTGTCCCTCCCCCCAACCGCCCCCCATTTAATGTGTTTGAGTGTCTGTCTGGATATACAGCTGTGTAATCATGTGCATGCATTGCCTGTGGAGGCCAGAAGGGGGCATCAGAACCTCTGGATCGGGAGTTACACATAGTGGTGAGTTGCCATGTGGGTGCTGAGAACCAAACCCAGATCCTCTGCAAGAGCAGTCGGTGCTCTTAACCACGAGGCCATTTCTCCAAGCCCTGCAAAGCATGGCATTTGAAGCTGGATAGCTTTAGAGCCTCAGAAGCCTCTTTTTCCAGACCCACACTGAGTTGGTGTTTTTGACCACAGCCTGTGGGTTTCCCATAGCTCCAGCTGTCACATGGCGAGTCTTGTCCCCAAGTCCAGAGTCCGTGCACCTGCAAGACAGGCCCAGCCCCGCTGCTCACTGTGGGTGCTCAAGGAAACCAGGACCTCTCTGAGGGTTGGTGTCCTCTTCCTCATAGAGGGTATATACAGACTGTTTCGCCTCATGGATCTTTTGTGAGAATCAAACTAGACAATTTATGAGGAGTTGCTTTGCAGACCATAAAACTCTGAGGACACATGAGGCACTCTGATTGATTTGCTGTGTCTTAGGAAATGACAGGCTCTCCTCAGGGTCCTCTATGTTCAAGCATGTATAAAATAATATATATACACACACTCATCTAATAAGCGTGCAACTGGACTCTTTCATGGTTGATCCAAGTTCACTGGCAAATCTTGTATAAAATTGGATGCAATTCCCTCTGTGCATTCTGTTGCTGTTGGTAGAGATGGGGGATGGGGACAGCGTTTGCCACCAACAATTAAGACTTTTAAAGGCAGCATCCTTTCTGGCCAGCATTATTCCGGCTGGGGGCTGGGTTAGTGTCTCCAGCTCTAGTGTTTCCTAAACGGGAGCTCTGAGAACAGGGCTCAGCACAATGCGTTGCTTCAGACTTTCAAAATGCAAATCAGTCTTGCGACTTGAAGTTCAGAATACTCTTCTAAATTTAAATGAGAGCCGCTTTAAAATTTAGGAAGACAATCTGGCCAGGATTATTAAAATTAGAAATAATCGTCTTTTGGGGTCTAAACCATGACAAAGCGTCTAAGAAGGCTGGCGTTCCTGGAGAGCTGTCCTGGCGCCTGGCTGGCACAAGGCATCTCGTCTAACTATCATGAACTCTACTTTTCAGATGAGGAAAGCCAAGCTGCTGCATCTGGCCAGCCGCACCTTCCCTCAGACGCGTCTCACAGAACTGTTGTATAGGTCGACCTTCCAGCCGAACAGCAGCCACCTGCTGGGTCCGCCTGCAAACATCCTCTCAGCCGGGCGTGTTGCTGGTGACATCCCCTCGTAGAAGGAGGGCAGGGGAGGGTACCGGGACCTTCGGTTTCCTAGTCAGTCCCTCTGTCCTACCAGCTGTCAGCAATTCTGCCATGATGACACCTGGCCTCCGGGAGGGGCTACAAGAAATAGTTTTGGGGGTGGTTGAGGGAGAGCGCTCCAGCTGTGTGGATGTGGGAACGCCATCATCCAGCTGGGTAAAGACTTTCTTTCCAGTGCAGCCTTTGGTGTGGGGTCGGGAGTGGGGCATGACACCCACACCTCTGTAGGTAACCCCTCTGTAAGGAAGCCCAATAAACACATCGATTCCCCCAGAGTGAACTTGGATGGCCTCACACTCCGTCTGCTGTGGAGACCTCAAAGGGAAGGGTAAACCGTGTCTGCATCTCCCCCAGGGAAGGGGTTTCAGCAACAGCCACTGTCAAAATGTGCATCGATTAGATGGATTAGATTCCAACTAAACGAAGCCCTGGCCAATAGAGAATTCCAGAAGAGCCAGTCCCATCCTACTGTAGAGCAGTCACAAACTGCCCCCCAGACTTCCCACTTACTACAGAAGGTCCCAAGACTCAGACAGGCGGCAGAGTGGAGCTGTGCATCGTATTGATATGTATCACGGAGGACTGTAGACTCTGCACCAGGCACTTTCCAGCGGCTTTGCACTCCGTCGCGGCAGTTCAAAGAGTCTGTGTTTTACAGATGCGCAGGGAAGAAGATCAAGCTCTCCGAAAGGAAAAGTCGTGTTTGAAACCGTCCACACAGCGCTAACAGCAGAGGAGTGGCGGAGCGAGCGAATTTATTTCTATATTGCTGACAACATGTTTATGACCCAAAGATGCAGAATAGAAATGGATCCACTTCAAAGCCATGCACACAGGCTCTCTCTCTCTCTCTCTCTCTCTCTCTCTCTCTCTCTCTCTCTCTCTCTCTCTCTCTCTCTGTCTCTCAGAACACAGGAAGATGGCGAACAGTTTGGGAGTTGGAGTGCAATGAAGTTTTTAACCCCTCAAATTGTCTTCTCTTAAATTTTAATCTCTTAAATTCTCTTCAGAATATTGCTTTCACAATTAACAAAATGGAGAGGTGAGGAAATTCTGTTATCCCACGGTGCCATTTTAGTTGAGGGTTGTGATAAATAAATGATGGAAGAAAATCCCGAAGTCAGCCGTTTGAAACTTTTGCCCTCACGTGGGATGTGCAGGGCGGGGGTGGGGGGTGGGGGGGTTCTAAAGCAGCTTTCTGATCTCAGTCAACCTTTCCTGGGGAAACGTGGGGACTTGAGGACACAGATTCCCTTCTCAAGGTCAAACATGAAGCTACCAGCCAACATCTGTTGTTTCCTTTTATAAAAATGAAAATGCATATGTTGTTTAAACAAAACGACCAAAATTCGGTTAGAGAAAAAGGGTCCATCCCCGCACCCCAATGCAGGAACAAGCATGTCCCCAGGGTTCAGGCGTTCTAGAACTTCAGGTGGGGTGTGCTGCCCTGTCTTGAGTCAGGGACGGACCTGCTCTATGGCCCTCATTGTTACCTTAGGTTCTCCAGGGACCTGCACCAGGGTCACCCAGGGACTTGTTAGAAATACGAATTCTTGGGCTCCATCCATGACGGGTGAATTGCACATTCTGAGAGAGGAGCCCGGCCAGTGTTGCTTAACAAGCTCTCGGGGTGCTTCTGAGGCATGCTAAATTGAGAGCCAGAGCCCAAGGCAGCGCATCTCCAAGTTCGAAGTGCAGAGAGGAATCCCCAAGGACCTTGTTAGACTACAGGTTCGGATGCGGTCGCGCGGGGCCTGGGGCTGGCGAGATTTCCTTTCCAACCAGCTTTCCAGACGTGCCCGGGTTGCTTCTTCAGGGATGACTCAGCAGAGCATGGAGCCGGTCTGAAAGCTGTGCGCCCCGGCAGGCTGTGGATAACGAAGCTTAGCCCTTCCCTCATGGTGAGCATCCCCCACCCCCCCACCCCACCCCTGCAAGCTTCATCCACAGCGGGCGCTCACTGCATTGAATCCGCACATATGCAAATCATCTGGTGTACGTGCTGGCAATGTTAGAGTTCACACACATCTTTGCTCCAGAGAGGCTATTTATTAGACATGGAGGGACAGAGGAGCAGAATACCCGACCCACTGGCTCCGTCAGGGGACCTTGGGACCCTGCCCAGAATGCCACTTTACAGACGCTACCTTACCCTCCAGATTTGAAATACTCTGTAGCCCAGGTGTGAGACCAGGTCCCCATGGAGCAGGAGTCTCAATGTGGGGACAGACGCCAACATGGGGGCGGGGGGCGCTGGAGGTGAACAGACAGGCAGGGGTATTTTTAAGTATAAAAATGTCAGGAAATGAGGACTCCACCTCAACAAAAACAAGTTAGTAGACAAGGATGGCTGGGTAAAGTTTGGCCCAGCAGGCAAACTTCTCTGCAGGTCGCGGGTAGCTGGCAAGCCCCGGAGTGTCCTCTCCTCATACTCCTGTGAGGAATGGATGTGTTCTAAAAAGGTTCGAATCCAGGGGTGCTTTAGAAAGCAAGAGCCTTCTCCATGAGCTCCCTGTGGCCCGTGACCTGCATCTTCAAAGCCGGGCCGCGTAGCATTTTCAGCTCCTCCTCCCTTCCACATCTGTTTCCAGTCTCACATCTGTCCCCTGCTTCTCTCTGGAGATCACACTGAACCCACTCAAGGGGTCCCATGGCGCCCACCTCAAGAGCTGTGATTTAAGCACATCTGCAGAACCCCTTTGGTCCTGTGAACCACTTGACTCTCAGGTTCCAGGGGAACGAAGTTCCCCCTAGGAAGAAGGGATGGGGGTGTATCTTAGGGGGGAACGGGCTGGTGTTTTTCTGCCTGCCACCCCTAGCTACTTCAGAGAGCTCTTTTCCCAGGTGGGTCTCTCCCATGGAAGGCAAGGTCTAATGTCACTGCGTCACTCGGAGGCCAGATCGCTGCTGCAGTCTTCCCAGGTCAGACCTCCCACTGGCAGCCGGACTGGAGTCATTTCCAGTGGACGTGCCTTGCCTCTCGCGCTAATGAACTGGTTTGCATAAAGTGTCTCTTTAAGACAGGAGCCGCTCAGAGCTAAGCTGAGGAGGCCCCGGCTCTGAGGGACACGTGGCTTACAGGGAGAGCTTTAACGAGACCAAACAGGTGTTTTTATGAGCACCCCAGCTGCCCCCTCGCCAACCCCAGTGACATCCGAAGTCCCGCAGTATAACGAACCTGCTGTTGAGGATTGCCTTTTCCCGCTTGCTCTAAACGAGTTTAGATCTGCAGAGGGCCCCAGGTGAGTGAACGAACAAGGCTCCCCTAGAGCTGAGAATCTGTCAAAGGCCTTCCACTGCGGTGGGGCTGTGACCTCGAGCAGGAGCACCCCACCCACCCACCCATGGGCTTAGCCTAGCTGCGAAGGTCCCCCTAGGAAGAAATGATGGAGGTGTTTCTTGCCACTGGACTAGAACATTCCCTCCTTCAGTAATTCCCACCGTTGCCAAAATTCTATCCCTTTGGGAGATAAAAACATCATTTACTCCTCCTCCGCTAGGTCCCAGCAACAAATGAAGGTGTGGTTCTACCCGAAGTCCACCCTTCCCACGGAGTTTACGAGGCTTCATTACCGAGCAGTGGGGGAGGGTCAGGCAGGAGCGTGGGGGACCCCAAAGTGGCTAAACCGGAAGGTCTGCACCCAAAAGTGGGGACGACTCCCCTACCGCTGAGTGGATGGAGCACCCTCCCCAAATCCTCCCTCCATCTTGTGTCCTCTAGGGCAGAGGTTCTCAGCCTTCCCGAGGCTGCGACCCTTTAATTCAGTTCATGTCGTGGTGACCCCCCAACCATAACATTACTTCCCTTGGCACTTCATCTCTGTGATTTTGCTACTATTATGAATCGTAATGCAAATATCTGATATTCAGCCAAGGGGTCGTGACCCCCGGAGTTGAGAACTGATATTCCAGCCCTTCTCAGGGACCCTGAGGTCATATGCGATCAGGGCGGAATTACATGCTACTGGCTGGAAAGGGTGGCTGGGTACTCAGGTGAAGGTCCCATGATCTTCTCCATCCCTTCCAAGAGGGAACCTAAAAGCCAACCTGCGGTGATGACCTTGGCGAGTGCACCCAGCTGAGCTCTCAAAGGTGACAGGGTAGGCCTGTACAGCACTCATGCTTCTGTGTAGTAGTGGAGGTGACCCCATGTGGCCCTGTCCCCACCCTCCAGGAAAACTGCTGATAAAGACAAACCCCACCTGCTGCCACCGCCATCACCCAGGCTGAGGTGTCCTGTTATCGTTAAGTATAGCTATTAAAGCGGCAGAGGCAAGGCAGGCCCGGCCTCTGAAATAATACGTGAGAGGAATTTAACCACAGGAGGAATCTTTCAGGAAGAAGGGTTGGTGCTGCCAATGAGACTTTCCGGGCACAGAGAGAAGCGAGACACACAGTGGCAATATATTGGTGGCTGCTGACTATTTGCATCTGCGCTGTTATTAATGAAATCCTGCTCTCATGCCCCCTGGAAAGGGCACTGTCGTTGTGACGTCACACTTAGCACTCACCGTTCAGCCTTCTCCTTGAGTATCACATGCATCAAGGCCTCCAATGCTTACAACCCCCTTTTGATTGACAACCATCCCAGGAGAGGGAAACTGAAATTGGGGAGGGGGGACGGTGGGCTAAAGATGGAGAGGATGTGAGAGTAAGTGGTGGAGCTGGGAGGCGCCTGCTCTGTAGCCTGATTCCAGAGCCCTGGTCTGTAGGAAATTTGCTGAGCTCCTTGTACCTGGAGCCAGGTATGGATGACGTGGCAGATACCCCCAGGGCAGAGCAAGTGCAGTTCTGGATCTTTCCCTGGGGGCTGTGTATCTTGAGAAAGTTGAGCGTTTCTGGAGAGTAGCAGCTGTGGACAGAAAAGGGGATGCCTGGGCAAGGGGGCAGACAGCAGAGATGATCCCCCCAAGATCCACGTGGAGAGACCCCGGGCAGCCGCTCTGTGCTGGAGTTGTGACGAGGCCCCAAAACCTGAGCTCCCGGCACAGACAACCTGCTCTTCTCTGGCTCCCAGATCGTCAACACATAAAGGTGTTTGCTTTCTAGAAGTTGGCCCTGTATAAACTGCCAGACTGGCAAAGAGTGAAGGTCCCTGAGATCTGTGCTTGGGCACCCTCAGGATGCCTGGCAACCACATCCGCTCCGGGGAGCCCCATCGAAATTCTCTAGGGATCCATGACTGTAGAGAACAAACATCAGTGGGGGGGTGGGGGGTGGGCTCCAGACCCTGGAAACAAACCTTCATAGGTGCTTTGAAAGTGAGCCTCTTTCAAGATGCTTCCTTCTCGATCCCCAAGACAAGCCCCAGAGAGCAGCACCCGTCAGGTCCGCCATGAACTGGCAACAATTCTGACTTTCTTCTCACAACCTAACTGAGTCCCCCTCCCCGACCCCAGTGCGCCCCTTACTTCTCCAGCCTCTGTGCTGGGAGGTGATGAACCTTTGGTCAGCTCCCCCCAGTCAACAGGACGATTTGCAAAGCTTGGCTCTGATACCCTGGGAGTGGCAAATAGCTCAGATTATTTGCACTGTTTGCAGCCAGAGAGCTTCGGGCCTTGTGAAGGATCTCCCGTGATTAGATGCTTGGCCCAAAATGACCTACCCAGTGGAGATTCTGGGTGGAGTTTGAGGGCTAGTCAAATGCCTGGGGCAAACTCTCTCGAGTGGCTGGCTAAGAATTACCAGCCTTCATTTCTTCTCCTTAGTTGTTTTTAGTCTGACTGGACATCAAGGGCAGAGAAAACTAAGATTCCTCTGAGTTCTTTGGTTTGTTATGTATATGACACTGGGTCTGGCATAGCCCTGGCTGGCCTCAGACTCCCTCTGCAGCTAAGGATGGGCGCATCCCTCCTGCCTCTACTTCCGAAGTGCTGGGATCACAGGTGTGTGTCATCCAGCCTGGCTCCTCTAGCTTTAATTGCTATCTGTCGCTGTGGCTAAGGGCAGCCAGGTTCAAACCCTGGGGGCTGACATGACCCTGAGTTCAAGTTATGTTAACCAGGATCAACAGTGATGCCTCCCACCATGAGTTTATCATGGGAGCAAAATGAGTTGTACCAAAACCACTTACGGCACCCCAGCTGCCCAGGGGCTGCAGGACTGTTTATTGCTGTTTATGTTACATTTCTCCTTCTCCCTTGGTCTCTCCTTGCCGATCCTGCTCTAGGAAAGCAGTCTGAAGTATTTGATATATGGCCCGTTATCCTCATAGACAGGCTTTTCAAAGTCACAATTAAGTCTAGGCCACAAGTCACGGCTAACAGCCCATGGTGCGGCTTTAACAGTCCCCACATGGGCTGTGTGAATGATGGCAGGCTGTAGTGATCACCGTATTCTGGTCTAACAATTCAATTTACCCATAAAGTAAATTCTTTATAGGCTGATCATTTTTTATGGATGCTGTATAAGTCTGGATTCTTAGTTGTAAGCTATAGAAATCGATCTTGGCTCAGAGCCTCACGGAATGTCCAATAAGGGGATGTTGGGCCCTTTAATCCACTCCATGCTGTAGAGACTTCCTCATCTTCAGTCTGTGCCTTAGAGGCTTCTTGGGCATCAATACTTGGAAAATGGAGAAGAAAATGAAAAGGGAGAAGAAGGGGTCACCTATGAGCGGTTTACTGGCCGAGTTTGTAAGTGGCTCCATACCATGAGCTAGAATTCAGCCATACAACCTAGCTGCAAGGGAAGCAGGGAAATGGGTTTAATGGTTCACCTTTAATGTCCCTGGTAGTGAAAGCAGGACTTTCAGCTACCACAGTAGGGAAAAGAGGCTTTACTCCCACCCAGACCCATCTGGGAAAAAATTCCACAGACCCAAAAAGGGGCCTCAACATTTAAACAGTCAAAGAAAAAGGGAGGGAAGGAGGAAGGAAAAGAGGGAGGGAGGAAAGAAGGAAGAAAGGAAGGAAGGGAGGAAGGAAAGAGGGAAGAAAGGAATGGAGATAGGTCCAATACAGGTGTTACAACAGTCTCTGAGGTCATGAACAGCCCATTGGCTGGAACTCTAGGCTAAGACCAGAATAGGACCAGCAAATTCCCCTTCTCAAGTAGTAGGGACTGAGGTGGTTTATGGTCTTGTGCCTGTTGAGTTACATTCTGCATTTGAGTCATGATGGATCTATGATTGTTAGTGTGGGAACATCCCACCCAGTATCTATGAAAGTGTTTGGCTTTGTGTATCACTGCCATGGAGAGATCTTGGGTTTACCATGCCAGGCTCTTGGCATTCCAGCTCCCCTTTCAGATGTGAATTCCTGTGTCATCCTACTCGAGGGATATGGGATCGAGTGTTTCTGTCTTCCCCCAGAGAAATTACTACAGAGCTTTTGATGACTATACACTGAGTGTGAGATCTCTCGATCGATGTGACTCACCATGGGTTTTGCTGTCCTTTGGGGAGGTGCCTCCCTCCCTGCCAGACCACAGACTGTGGTGGTCCATGGTACCTGCCAATGAACACAACCTACAACTACCGTCTCGGAGTTCTCCCCTCATCTCTCTAGGCCTCCAGTGGGCACCAGTTCCATGCTGCCAGCATAGGGACCTTCCCACCCTCTGCAGGCGTGACTGCACCCATACTTTCTGTGAAATATGACTTCCCTTGATGGAAATCGCCTCCCTCTGTGCTAAGGCCATGCTTTCTCCTGCCAAGACATGACCTTGGACATGATAAGACCATTCCTACCCCAGATTTGTTGTCATAAAACAACTCGGCACCCCTGGCACCAGGGCGTGCTGTGCCCCTTGGAGACTTCTTGTAGATGGTGCAGGGCGTTTTCTCATCTGCATCATCGATGGAGGTCATTGTATATAAGCAACCCACAGGCTAAGCAGTGAGATATGGGCTTTGTGTAATGTTGATCCCTGTACTTCTGCTAGGAGCCCCTGATTTGTCCATCCATCCATCCACCCATCCATCCATCCATCCATCCATCCATCCATCCATCCATCCATCCATCCACTCTCCCATCCATCCATTCATCCATCCACCCATTCACCCTCCCATCCATCCATCCATCCATCCTCCCATTCACCCTCACACCCATCCATCCATCTATCCATCCATCCATCCATCCTCCCATCCATCCATCCACCTATCCTGCCATTCACCCTCCCATCCATCCATCCTCCCAT